ATCGGGTAATTTATTAAAATAGGAATCCGGAAAAAATTGAGTCCGTTCATCGATTTTTTATTGTACTACTTACGATTGTACTTCCGCGTAGTGATCTAAGCCCAAACAAGGCCACGGAAAGTTTTCCAACATGGATTTGACGCAATCGCACGCAGGCAAACTGTCTGCGACAACATGACGTGAAAGAATAGCAGGTATTAAGTATTGTCGTGTATGGATGACAAAATCGTCCTTTTCGGTACCCAAAAGTTCGAGAAATAGCTGAAAAAGGTGACGAATAGTAATGGTTAGTGGTAGGGATGGTTTAATTCATTCGTGGTGTGATCAAGTGTTGTGAAATCGTACGGAAACGGTGCTACATCTCTATGGCACGAATAAAAGAAATTTTAAATGACGAAATAGATGGAAAGGTTAAGAACAAAAATTTGGGTGATCTATCATCCACCGATTCATCTGAAGCCTGAACTAGCTGCTCCAATATAATCCAATTAGAGACTGGGGAGAGTACAACCAAATAACAAGTCACAATAATGATTCAGAACTCACGGTAAAAATACGCGAACACTGACTCAGATAGACCGGCGAAGACGGGCGTGAGACACAACGTATCAATTGTACGCATAATTCAACCAAATACCGTACTCTAGGTCGTTTTATGGGTAGATAAGATGTTTTTGTCTCCAGATCGTCTGTTTCGAACATGGAATCGGGCAGACAGACCAAACAGGTCATCAGAAGTCTATAAACCTGTAAATTGAGGGAGAATAGATCCGACGATTGGTCCTCGCTTGACGTCAACTCTGGCGCGTCCATTCGGAACGGACGAACCGTCAGCAGTCGGAGAATACAATCGATTAGTGGCAATACGGCCACTGAGTGTTTCTGCTTCCAACTCACTTGTTCCAGTTTTGTTAAAAGACTAGAACCACAAAGGAGTTGATGAGGAAATGATGAGCATAACGCAAAAATCGCAAATTGATCACAAAAGAGGGGATAAACCTCTTCTGCAAAAACTTAATTTTGTGATAAACAATAATAAAAGTGAACCACAAGAAGAAAAAAACATCGTATACGGCAAAAAAATATATGGGAAAGTTTATTGAAAGCGTTACATGATGGACGGAAAATGTATATTAAAAAGTCAGGTGGAGAGTTACGACGAAACATAGGTAGTAATGAAAAGGGTGAGTAAAGTTGATGAAACAGCTGAGTGCATTGCCCGTAAGGTACATTAAAAGTTCGACTGCGTTAAAAATTTGCTCTAAAGTAACCATTTTCGGCGTCCGACAACTCACTAGTTCTATTTCTATTTCAGTAATAGATTGGTGGTACTCTCTACAGTATAATTGAGGTCACTAAACACCTAATATTGTTGAATTGATTCCATCGTTCTACTGGTACAATTACTATGGGGCATAACATACCGTTATCTTATATTTTTTTTAAATACACACTTATGTGATGAACAGCAGACGAGGTGAACCCCACAGTTATGAGGACCAGTCGATTAGCCATGAAAACACAGGACTTGAAGTGGCGAAACACACCCACTAGTTTAGGTGTGGTATTGACCCGCGCGACGAAGGAGCCACCTACCAACAAAGCTGAATGGCGGTGGTAGGGTTTGAACCTCGGACCCTAGGGTCAAAGGAACGCCGGTGGCAGCGAATTAAACCACTTGAACTCCAAAAGGCTAGTGTCTCTCCTAGAGTGGGATAGGTCTCGCACTCACCCCAAAAGAAATGCTCCAAGGGGTGTGTGCTCTCTAAGCAGTTGTTGCCGAAATCCTACTCAACACTTTCTACGAGTGAGCAGGTGAAAAATTCAATATTCGGAGATATTGCTGGCGAGATGATTCACAGACAGCTAACTCGTCTAGGGGAGCTGAAAACCCCTGACTCCAAACTTCTGAATAAGTGGTGTACAAATTGACCGCGGGACTATTTGGTCACAATGATAACTAGGTTGGGTTGGGAGTCAGATTGTACTGGGCGCCTCCGAAGTGTAAATCACGCAATATTTGACTGACTGGGTACCGCCTCCAAAAGACAAACATTTTCTAGCAATACCCCGCTGCTTTAGGGGAAAGGTTAGTATGGTCTAGAACTCCACCAGTGAGTCATGCTGTGGTCACCGACTGATTTTATTATTACCACGCTTTGCTGCAAGCTAAATTCTCCTTAAGCCTGACAAACAACCGTGAAAAAGCCATCGATAACGGATACCCACGACACAACGTCAGCGATCGTTGCAAATCAGCCTTCGAAGCGGAGCTCTCCGATCGCCTGTTAGTTCAACCACTAGCCGAAGGACTCAATGAACACTGGAAGTAAATCAAGGAAGTATGCAAATATCAATGAAAGCAATGTCAGACCCTCGCGCAGGCTGAAGACACAAACGATGGTTGTAATCGACCTCGGTTGCCCTGCTGGACGCCCGCAGAACCTTCAGTCAGTCTTCAGGATTGAGGGTAGGGTGCCCGTGTAAGCCCATCACCACTGGGTCGAAGGTCTGATCACAAGTGTTCGTTCCTCCATAGCCCCTTCAGGTGCTTATCCAGACGCCGTTTGAAAGCAGCGTCTGTCTTCTCTTCCACCACAATCGCTGGAAGGGAATTCCAGAGTGTTGTTGACCCTACGCGAGAGTCGGTAGACTAACGGAAGACCAACGGACTGAAGTTTCCGCAACGTGAGAGAGTGTCCCCGCCTGCGGTCCTCTGTCCGTAAAGGGAAGTACTGTTGCAGCTCCGGGCCCATATCACCTCTCAGGATCTTCCTCAGGCAGATGAGATCTCCCCTGAGGCGTCGATACGCAATTGGGAACAGACCAGTAGCCTGTAGACGACCTTCATAGCTGGTCCCGCGTAGTTCAACAACGAGTCTAGTGGCATTACGTTGTACACGCTCCAACTTAACCAGTTCAGCGGCCGTGCAGGGGTATGTCGCCGCACCACCATACTCAAGTCTTGCTCTGACATGGGAAGCGTACAACAGCCTGGAAGCATCCATCGTGAGTTGGTTGAAAGACCACCGAATAGGCCCCAGAATGCCCCATGCGCTAGCACAGACCCGATCGGTGTTTTCTCGGGTCTTTAGTAATGACGTAACCATAACACCCAGGCCTCGTTCGCACGATGTTTTGCGCAATGTAGTTCCCTGAAAGTTGTAGACTACCGCTGAGTCAGTACGCCCCAAGTGCAGGTGAGCACACTTTGCTGTGTTGACTGGAAGAGCCCAGGTATCC